CGTATGTAACATTACATATATACATATATGTGCTCATGCGCGAGCGACTCCAATAACACAATATAAAAAATAGCGTTGGCAACCAGCACTTTTATTTCGCCGTAATAAAAGCGGATACCATGATTTACGATGCGGCAAAAGTGGGAATTCCGGAAATAGCAACTAATCGTCGTCTACCCGTCGTGTCTGTGTTATTGGCAGTTCGGTACTTCTTCTATCCGTGCTTTTATTTCCACCAGCGAAAAAGATTAAATAGGATATCGGAAAGACGTTACGAAAAAGCAGTGATATTATTATACACTTTTGAAGAGGTTTAACGAAAAAAAAAAGTCGGTGGTACTCGCGAGAGTTTGTATTTCTGGTGAGTGGAGAAGGAATGCGCGCGGGAGAAGCGTCGATCGAGAACGGACTCTATTAACGTCGGCTAATATGCGCTTTGAATGCCCTAATTTTCCTCCTCGACTCGATAGGGCTCTTCTAAGGAGACAGCTAAGACGCGCCATACGGAGCCGTAACTCCGACGTTCTGATCGTGACACATGTCCGTCGCAGAAAAGACGCGCCGAGCGCGCTGCCAAACGCGCCAGCCGTTGATTTTCCACAAAATGTCTGAACGGCTGATTGACATGTTTATTCGTAATGTAATCTCGCGGGTTCGCGTTAAATCACGTTAACGTCAACGCGGCGCGTTTGGCTTTGAAGGTTTTAATTAATATGAGGCGAAACGCACGACCCGTTCAGTTAATCCAAACGTAAAATATAACCGTTCTCTTTTTTTCCTCCGCCGTTTCTGCAACTTGGACGTTGCCGCGATATACCAGACACGTTTCTTGAATAAGAACAATGAAATGATGCTCGAGTTACAGTGTAAAAACGACGCGGTTCTACGGAGAAACGAAATAACATAAATGAGTAATGCTAGAATTATAATGAAATGTGTAGCGATTAATATGAAATATGTAGACGCTTGGAAAGTTTTATTCGCGAGCCGCGCGACATTATTTCCTCTAATTGCGTCAGCACAAATCTTGGAACTGATATACTCTGTTGGTTTATAGACGTGATGAATTATGAGACACGGCATAAACATTAAAGGTTCACTAATTGCAAGCGATACGTCATTCGGCCGTCTTTATGTACGCATGTTATTTTAACTTTCACAACGGCAAAACATTTCGCAGTAACATATGATATTTTTACTCGGTGCGATAATCCGTTGGACTTCTTAGATAGTGATGTAGAAATAAGATGAACGCTAGACGATGTCCTTGCAAAAAGGTTTTAAAGTACATCTATGATAATTAATTTAAATGTTTGTATACAAAATTCGAGCATTCTTGAAAAATGTGACACCTTCTAAATCAATAATAAGTTAAAACACCGAAAAAGAAAACGAATTCATTGTCATCTCATTATCGTCCTACTTTTTAGAGTTCTAGGCATACAATAGTATTTTATTTTTTAACATAATTATTTACATTTTGATTCAACGTTTATAAAATAAATATAGAAAACTATTTCGCTAAAATAAATGTTGAAACAAACGTTTTGTTTTTCAATTATTTTTAAATTTACATCATGCAATATTTCACAAAAGCTTTACTATGAACTTCGTGAAGCAAGACACTTTACCACTGATAAGCCAAAATGTTTATTAGCTCTGTATAAGGTTAGTAATTAAAAGGCACGCACACGCACGCACACCTTCCAAGATAATCTAACGCACTTGCTCATTTGGATTCAGTTGCAAGGTCTGCAACGCGGGAGCGAAGACAGGGGGTTGTTTGCGTATCGATAAACATCCTCTGGTACTGTTACGAAACAGGGAAAAATGTTAATTACACTGACCGACAAAATCTGACTTTGTTTTTGTAACACGAAAACATATGCCTGCTTCTATCTGATGTGAAATAAATTCAGATACGAATAGTTTCACACTATAGTAACACTATATTTTTAGTTCTCGAAAATGTAAGGTAAAAATAAATTAAATACAGGTATTTGTGATACGAAAGTTATTACAATTAGGATTTCCCTCTATATTTCGCGTCAGGAACATCCCTTCTTAATGCCCAGCAATAATCCGCCAACATACTGGCACTCCACTTGTAACCGTCACAAAAAAAAAACAAGATCTGACCGAAAGAAAAAAATATACGATTCCGTGATAACAACAGATGGAGATATCAAAATTGGTAAATAGTTTTCTTGTTACAAAATTTCGTTGACCAGTGTCGTTCGACACACCGGCGAGCTGAAGACGCGTACCGTAGACGTGCGCATAAAGATTTTCGGTTACATATCTGACAAGTCACTAATTGAGATTCAGCGACACGCATAATCGCCCCGAAATAACACGGATTCCAATCGGCGGAGGGGCGCCGTGGAAGGCGAAATACGGGCGGGACCATTCATCCCGACGGTTAAAATCACCGAATATTTCACTTTGCTGAGCCAGCTGAGCCTGCCACCGCCTGTCGCGGCACCCCGGCGATGGAAACGATGGAGGGATGAAGCGAACCTTCTCTCCACGACTCACTCCCACACCCCTACGACGGAGAGGGAATGAGCGAGCGAGCGAACGAGCGAGAAAGAGGGAGGGGGGGGGAGAGAGAGAGAGCCACCGGTTCTAGAAACCTACGGTTTGCCACCCACATCCCTCTCGCTGTCTCTTTTTCCCCGCTTGCCCTCTTCTCTACACTAGGCTGCAGATTTATGCGCCCCGCCTTGCAGCGCTGATATCCGAGAGCTCACGACCCGTTCCGTCCGTAATGAAAGAAATAAATTTACTCTTCTGGGGGTGCCCCAGGGATTGGGACTCGCCGTTCGTGTGCACACACGGACGCGGTTCTCCGCATTCTGATGGTGTTAGCGGGAGTAGGATTGCCAATTTAAGGATTTTGTCACAAGATCCGGTTTCTTTGAGTCACTAGAGTTTAGTAACTCAAATATGTGTATATTTCATTTTGTCCGCGGCGAAATAATAAATAAAAGCATAACAGACAGAGTGCGTCTGTGTAAGCGAGAGGAACAAAAGGAAGAAAAAGAATTCCGAACAAAGGGAAAGACGTTTTGGTAATTATACCGAAAGAGGTCCGTGATTTATCATGAGCATCGAATTTTTCACCTGTCTCTCACAGCTTTTCATCTTACTCTGCAAACAGATTGGCCACGTCAAATTATGGTTGCAGTAAATCAATTTTGCTATTCATTCCAAGACAAACTTGATAATCGAACTATTCATTATTTCGTACAAAGAAAAAAATACCACTACATGTGCGTGCATGTGTGTATGTGTGTGAAGGACATTAACTTCCTAAGATGCATAGTTGAGATACACAATGATAAGTAGATTACTCATAATCAGTAGGACTATTGACAATGATTAACAACATGATGGGATGATTGATAATGATATCATTATTTCGTATCTGCGAGTAAAATGCCACGGAGTTATTTAGTTTGCGATAAGAAAGGAGTGAGTAATAAATGAAGGAGTGTGAGCAGAAATTTTGTAGAGATTATCTGTAAGAAGCAGAGCGAAGTCTTCGAGATGGATAGCTCGAATTCGAAAATGATTATTTTAAACTGTTTACATAATAGACTCGCGCTACAAGGTACCGTAAAGTATGTAAAAGATATATTAAATTTCTCTACGAGGCTTTAAGGTAGAGTGTAGACGAATAATGGGTCTGGACATGTAAGAAACTACGCCTCGTTGCCAGTGAATGACAGATTGTGAAGTGCGTTTGATAAATTATCCGTCAAGCATGACTGACGAGCGGAGATCGTAACAGGTCAGCGAAACCAGGCAGACCGATTTTTATATCTCATAGTAGTAAGGGGGAAAAAAAGACGTACGAAAAAAAACATGGAAAAAAGATATAAGCACGGGAATCAAACGAAGTGTCATAATAATTGATATCTTTGCGGTTAACGTATATTTTGAGAGCAAACAGGCAAAATTGAAATGCCCAAGAAATTGAGCATTTTGATAATCCGAACGTGAATATCCGTTTCGTGAAAAGTTGTATGCGAGGTTTACATAAGAGGAAACGGCAATTGCAAAACGCTAAGCGAAAACGAGAAAGGAGTCGGATAAAAGAATATCGTAAAGCGCATGATACATAATAGAAAAAAAAATTAAGCAATTCTACACTGGTTTTATTAAAGCGGTATGGAAATTCAACGATATTTACAATGCGGAGGAGGTGTATCGTACGCCGTGTACCTGCTCCCTTTTTGCTAGAATATTCTGTTCAACGACAACATGAGACAACGTGATGTTGAGCGACACGGCCCGACACGCTCCCGGATAAACCCCGATCAGAAATCATTCTGGCGCGGTTAGCGATTTTCAAAAAGAAAATGATAAGACGAATTCTTTTGACCAATTTTATTTTTCTTTTCTGTAACGGCACTCGGTATTTGCCTCACGCAATTAATAAATTACGTTATATATCATCTCGGAGATATCTTGGACACGTTTGTTAATAACATTCCTTTCTCAATATCAGTCATATCGTGGACGCGCGGTGCCGCGCGCTATCGAACGCATTTAGCGCGAAATGCTCGCGTTTGCGGAGCGTCGGGCGACGTACAGTGGTACGCACTTTGCGGTAATCCTCACAGACGTACGCTCGTACGTCGCCGAGTAACGACCGATTGACGTCGTCCGCAAAACGCGAGGGTGAACGAGTGCAGGAGGACTCATCGGAAAACTGAAGCGGCACGCGATTCAGAAAAGCAGTTGGAAATTGCGCTCGTGATTGTTGAATCCCGTGGAAGCGAGGCTCCTGTCCGTCCGGCAGTCGTTGCGACAATCACGAGACACGGTAGTGTCTCGCGCCAAGTACAAGCGTAGCTAGAACCGCGCGTTAACTTACAGCTGGCATGTAATCCTTCCCCCTACATGGCAACCGGATTTGAACAGAGATGCGTATTACTGGTATCATAGAAGTTCCGCAGGAGAGTGGTCGATGCAACGTCAACACTGTCAAGTTGTTTCATAAACTTTAATCATATTCTTCAATGTACACATATATTCATATTTATATATACATATATAGAATTCTTTTAAATAAATCTGTATTATACACAGCGGCTATTTACACAACAGTCTTAGACGGAGGACTTCGTCCGCGTATCATTATGTTGCACATTCTCCAATTGTACACTCAGAAGAAGAGGGAAGAGACGGGGAGAAAAAGGGAGGACGGGAAGAGGCTCCCTCCAGGAGAGATCTTGCCGTCGTACCACCCTCTCCCTCCCCCTTCCTCGCGGTATGTCCATCTTAGGGATGTACGGCGGCGCCGATTCGCTGTCCGTAGACCGCGTACGGCGAGTAGTACGGTCCTAAGGCGTTGAAAGCGCTATACGGCGAGGCGGCGAGCGAGGCCGGCAGCGGGCCCGTCGGCGGCTTGCCGTAGGGATGGTATCGGGCGCCGAGCGGGCTCAGCGACGGCGCCGGGTAGGTGCCGCCGCTGGCGCGATGAAGGGTGGTCGACGGCGACAGCAGCGGGTGCGGATGCGGATTGCCTAGGAGCGCCGCGGCGGAGGCCGCCGCATGGTCGCCGCCGGTCAGGCTCGTGTGGCTACGCAGATGCTGGAGGAGCTCCTCCGACGTGGCAAACCGCTTGCCGCAGTACGACTCGCCGGCAATCCAATTGCAGACGTAGGGCCGGCCGCCGGCCAGCGTGGACGGATAGGACAGCGACGGTGGCGGCATCGGGCCCAGAGACGACAACGCCATCGCCAGGCCGTACTTCTGATGGTCGCACTGCGTGCACCCGCTCGGACAGCTGCCCGCGCCCATCATCAGCTGTGCGTTATGCATGCTGTACTGGCAACCCGTGCAGAAAGGGTCCTTGCAGACCGGCATCAGGGCATCGCCGCCGGCGGGTGTCTTGACGCGGGCGTAACCCAAGTACGGGTTGCCGCCGGTCGGGCCTGCCGACGGGTAGCCGACGGACAGTAGCGCCGCCGCGTGATGCGAGAAGGGCGACGCGCCCGCGAAGGGCGGCCTGAAGGCCGGGTTCTCGGCGAGGCCTGGCGGACAGCAGAGCGGATTGCCGGAGAATCCCGCGGGCAGACCTGGCTTATAAGCGGCCAGACTCGCGTCCTTCGTATGCGCGCCCGACAGAATCTCCATCCCGGATCTGATAATCGGACTGGCGCCACTGTTGTTGTTGCTGCTGCTGCTGCTGCTGTTGCTGCTGCTGCCGTTGCTGCTGTTACTGCTACCGTTGTTGCTGTTACTGCTTCGCGGCGAGCCGTCCATCTTCTCGCGGTCCGCCGGGGTCTTCCGATCGACCGACGGCGTACCGCTGGTCGTCGTTGCCGTCGCTTGGCTGCTCGGCGACGCGGACTTCCGACTCACTGGCGTGCGATTGCCAGACGACTTCTTGTCGGGATGCACGCTATCACACACACTGATACTATCCTGACCACTGACACTATGTACACTGGCTTTGGACGCGGGTCTACCCTCGTCCGTCGTCTTCTTCGTCACGACATTGGTCTCGTACGGTTTGAATGCCAGCGACTTGCCGTCCGTCGGGCTGCCGCGGGTGTTGCGCTCCAGCTTCGCGGCCGGCGGCGACTTTGCGTTCGTGGCGATGCCCATGCCCTTCGAGCTCTTTTCCAGAGGCGAGATCAGCGGTTTCGTGGGCGAGTCGGCCCCGATTTGGCTACATGTCTGCGCCAATAGTGCCAGCGGACTCTTTTTCGCGTCCAACTGCACAACCCAAAAAGAAGCGGAGTTATAGACAAGATTGCGGAAAGGTACATCATTGGCTCTCGTATTCGCGCAGAAAATTAAGCGTATATCGATGGAGGCTAACAACGCGCGACAGTTATCCTCTGCTTCGGGTCCCGCCGGGACGCGAACGGGCGATTCGCGAGAGGAAAATTGTGAAAAATAATGAAGAGAGAATCCTGCGACTTTGAAATTCCGATTGTTCCCGCGTCATTTAATTTTGTTCTCAACGTGGAAATCTTTTCTCGAAACAAACGAGAATCTCGACAAAGTAGCAAGGGTGTAGAAATAATTAGAATGGGAAAGGAACAATGCGAAACACGATACTAACCGTAGTTGGAAGCGGCGAGAGATAATCCGGTTGTAAATACTGATTGTGTCCAGTAGTCAGCATACTGCCTTCCTCGAGCACAACCATTTGGTTTCCCACTGATTGATCTCACTGCACTGTAAACCAACAACGGATATTTACACACGCACACACAGAGACAGGCACACCCCAGGTATGTGTGTGCGCGAAAACTGGAGAGCAGAGGCCCAAACGGTGAGGGATTCGCGGACGCGCGGCGTCGAGACTGCGCCTCCGTCGGGAATCGATCACCTCGCGTCGGCCACGTATCCTTGGCGCAATTGGGCGACGCGTACACCACGAAATCCAGGAAAATAATGACGACTCGCGCTCCGCGCAGCTCACTCCGTGCTCTCAGAGTCGAGCGCTACGCTGCCGCCGCCTGGCGGCGCTGCGGGAATCTCGCCCCTCCGGCCCCCTCTGCCCACCCAGCTGCCCCTATCCTTGACGACCCGGGGTGTATAACCTGTCCTCTCCTGTCATCCCCACCGCCGCGCTCGGACGTGCGGCGGTGGGGGGAGATGGCATTATGGTGGGAGAATTGCGGTGCTGCGTGGGGTGTGGGAAGGCATTCTAATTCAACACGCCACCCATGATGTTGGCCCGACGATGACAGCTCCCATCCCGGCTTTGATATTTCACCGCTTTTACAGCCGTCCATTCCCCTCCCCGCACGTCCGACCGACGTGGGCCCCCCTTTCTTCTCTCTCCCTCCACCGGCCTCTACCCTGTCGCTCTGTCCCTCTCTCTCGCCGTCTCGCCGTCTCGCGCTCTCGCTCCTTGCCACGGTCGGGTTCCCCGCGACCCGCCCGCGCCAGAGCTACCATAGCTGCCACGACACGGAACCGTCGTTCCTGCCACCACGGCAACCCGATATTTTATACCGTGAAACCTGTCTGTCTCTCCAGCCGGCCCCGCTTAATAAGCAGCTTTCAAAATAGAAATGTAATGGGCCGCCGGGGGTAGGGGGAGAGCGGGTCGGGTGATTGATTGCTCGCTCAGCGACTTACCGACTTGCCGCGGCCCCACGGGGTAACGAATGACAGCCACTTAAGCGCTGTTTGCCTACAGTTTTGTAAAAGCGTTTTAATTATCACCCCGGCCCCGACCGCGCGGTGCGCACTGAGTCATCCGGTACTTAACGCCTCGTGGCTACTGATCTCTCTCGGCGTTTGTGCGCCGCTCTCTATGTCGCGGATTCGTCGATACCAAGTAATTGTCGACAATGCGGCGAGTTCACCGATCTTTCGCCGGAGATGTTGTTCCAAGTGCACTTTTACACGAGAATTTTCGAGACGCGCGAATCTTTTCACGTTTCAATTCGGATCGATTCGAAAATAAAATCATAAACTTGACCATTTTTTCTACGACGCCGTTTTAAAAATAATTTTAATATTAAATAACGCAAATTGTTGCATTTATTAGAGTAAAAAAGTCACCTATTCGAAATCGAATCGTCGACGATTCAAAATCATCGAATTATCCAAATTCGAACTTTTCTTATTCGAAAACGAATCGATTCGATTATTTTTCGAATTTTAACAATTCGATGATTTCGAATCGGTCACTTCTTTCCTCTAATAAATGCGATAATTTTTGTAATTTAATATTTAAATTATTTTAAGACAAACAGTTATGGTTTTATTTTTAAATCGAGTCGAGTTGAAACGCGAAGAGAGAGATGCAATTCGATTCAACCACATAAAAGCAGATTCGCACGCCTCTCTAGAGAGGTTATGTTAGACAAACATCTTTTCGTAAATCTTAGGTCGCTGGAAACCGCTAAACGACAAACGAAAATTTTGAAAATACTTTCAGTGCCGGTGGTTTCGACGTAATTCGAAGCGTAATCACGGCTTTATTAATCAACGATGAAACAATCCTTTTTAATATTGGTTTTGACGAGCCCCGTCGCGATATTGTCGCGATATCCGGTCGCATTCGCGCAAAATATGCATTCGGGGAAATCCAACGGCGCGCTCACGCGTGTATAACGCATTTACGCGCTCGCCAGGCGCGCATCATACGCGTCCGCTTGACGGGCGATTCGGCCATTAAAGAACTTGACTATCAAACCTCGTTGGAACTCAAACGCTCCGCGGTTAGGCGATTACGGCCATTCCGCTTAAGTACAGCTTAAGCAAGATAAAGCGATCGATGAAGTAACTATGTTACAAGGTAATTACGACGAATTATGACGATATCCACACGCCCGCTACGTAGACCGCATACCCGCGGTAAACAATAATTACCCCGGGGAGCACTTCGCCCAGGAATGCAACCGAACAGTATCTGAGAAATGCATATAGGTATGTCGACCGTAATTTAACACTAGAAGTCTTTATAACATTCCCGGCGTCATTAACTATCGTGATACAAGCCGAGAACAGAAATCCGCGGCCAGTTCGATACGTGACGTTACTTTCGAGAGATAATTTTCCCCGCGATTACTTTCGCCGCGATCCCCGGCTTTTACCTTTGCGACCGTAAAACCGAGACCATCCTCCACCTTAAAATTTGTGCCTCTATCTCTCTCTCTTTATCGCGCTGTAAAACTTAACGTGAATACTGTCATACCGTGACGAACTGTTTGAAACTGTGTACACATATGATAACAGTGACACATATCGATGAATGTCAACAGAACCTTTTTAATAAATACAATTACATAAAACGCCCCGTTTTGCGGATCTTTGAGAGCGCACTGCCTGCACTTTTGTTTCTTGTTTTATTTATATCAATTATCTTGGGAGGTTTTCCGCCTCACGTCGATACCGTATCTCTTTGTCTTATTTAGTTTTTAAATGAGAAAAAAACTCAAGACCGTCGGTAGCGTGGCTTCTACGTGAACTGTCTGCCGTTACGGCGCCGCTAATACTCCGAAGACGACTCTTTGACGTTTTGACACTGACGGATGAGTTTACGGCTAATATAGTTCTCTTTCATCTCCGCGACTCTGGGGGGCCCCTCGGGCCCCCGCGATGAAGATTTAGAGTCGACGGTGGTCTCCCTCGATAACAGATTCGGTCTGATCAATGGCGTGTGCTCCTATTATAAACAATGTTTGCCGAACAAACTCCGACGTTAAGTACGTCCGCGGTCGTGCGATGAGCGTATGCAGCGTTGCGTTCCAGTGCCACTGTAAATTACAGTTGACAGGATCTCTTTTCGCGATCGAACCGTTGTTTTATGGCTGCGCCAGCGCTTTATCACCGACGGCAGTATATCACAGTTACTACTGCTTAAAGCAAGGTTAATTGGCCTTACGCAAACGAGATATTTTTCTTTTCACAATATTTGGTACGCGCAGCTCAATGGTTATGCAATGATGGATGTTATTCGCGGTATCTGAAACAAGCGTTGCGAATTTTTGATAGCTAAATCACACTTTACTTTTACTTTATCGCCATGATGCATGTGTGTGTGTGTGTGTGTGGTGCGATTTAAATGGTAGATTTTTTTGTAACGTAGTTGCGAGTTATTATGTTTACACTCGTTTTATTTTCTGAAATGCTAGTTTTCTCTTTTCTCCTTACGATAATATGGGATTGGTTGGTTTTCTAAGAATGCATTTTTTAAGAGAAAATATATTTATTGTCCCCAAACGGACAATACAATGAAATATGTTCTTTGACATTGACATTAGAAACGTATTATGCACACAGACTGATTTGTTACTTTTATGGACCCTCGCTGATAATAATTATTGGGAGAAAGGTGAAAGAGACATGGGATAATACTGTACCCTGCAATAGTACTTAAGGGAAAGATGTAAGACATGAAAACAGCAGGTGATCGAAAAGCTTTATTGCTATTATGCTTATAAATTGTGAACTTGTGAGGTTTGTAATTTCACAGCAATCAATACTAAATGGCTGCTTGCTTCATTGAAATTGTATTGACAAGAACTTTTGTTAAAGAAATGGAGAAACATATTTCTTTAAGAGAAACTTTGCTAGTATTTATTTCTTTTCGACAAAATAATGAAAGACGTGGAGCAATACTATAAAATGCAACACAATACAATACTACTTGCCGAAAAGATGTAAAACGTGAAGAAATAACAGGCAATTAAAACATTTTTAGTGTTGTATTGTTCATAAATTGTGAACTTTTAAGGTTTGTAATTTAACAAATGGCAACAAATAAACTTTATTGTGTAATGAAAGTTGTGTTTACAAATACCTTTGTCATCAACTTTATCAAAGAAATGAAAAAACACAAACGTGTTTGTGAGAAATTCGTTAGTCCTTGTTTCTTATCGACAAAATGGAGAAATATAAATTTACCAATGGGAATGTTTTCGGACGATTTTAATATAATTGACCAACAATTTTTTTCATATTCTTTATTGGATTTATTTACGTTATAGCCATGTATATGTGAAACTGCTACTTTCCTATTAATACATCAAACTTGAATCTTGAACGACTCCAGAATTTATGTTGAAATGACTTTCGGGATCTCGGGATACACGGCCATTTATAAAACGTCAAGACAAAGCTCGAGTACCGTGACACAAATGATTTTCTGTGTCATTTTGCAGAAAATACATTACACGCGCGGATACATGGAATATATTCATTCTCTCCGTTCCCGCAAGTCACAAAGCGGCTCACTTTCCTCCCGAGATATTCAAGATATCAACGGCTACCTGAGAACAAATATGAATCTCGTTATTCGCCGATCCATTTCCGGTTGATTCGGCGCATTGAATCGCAGACCATTCTAAATCGCGGTACACCGTCAAATGACTACAGAACCGACGACACCGCGACAATGATCCACGGCGCTCAAGTCCTTCAAGACCGTATTGTGATCGTACGAATCCGCCGCGGGAACAATAGACATCGGGAGAGCTTCGGATAAAAGTGTAAAAATGCTGACAAGCGGATAATAAAGGAGGCAGTCAGTCACTTTGAGAGATGGCGCGGAACAAAGAGGGCGAGAGAAAGAGAGCGAAGGGAGAGACGATCCGTCGTGGGGCGGGGGTAGGGAGGGCAGAGGGGATTGCTCGGTGAGCCGTGAAAGGGAAAAAGATGGATGAACGCGAGCGCAGTTGGCGTGCACGGAGGAGAAACAGAATTTGCGGGGGATAATAAATCATAGCGGTCTTTCTACCGTCGTTCCTCTCTTACCCCCCCCCCCTTCCTAACTTCTTATACACCCAGCTCCACGCGCGC